CGATGCGCACCTTTCGCATTTTAGCCCCTCACTAGACTCGCCGGTCCCTAACTCCACTTCCGTATCATTCCCCTCCTCTTCAAGACCTTCCTTGTCCCCAAGGATTAGAAATTCAGCTTCCTAACTCGACCATCCCCGTCATCCTCATTAGGTGACTCGCCTGGATCCTCAGTCCTCAAGGGTCTCCAACCACTGGCATCCAAGTACTATATCAGTCGCCTTCAATGGCAAGTCATAGAGATCCACTCTCATCTTTTGACCTTGAGCCTCCAATTTTACACCTTTGAAGAGAATATCCCCTCGTAGTGTCTCCTCGTTTGCTACCTTGACTCCAAAAGGTTTTACCTTGGTGAATGGAATCTCAATTTCTTTGGACAGCTCCTCATCAATGAAGTTTAGCGTTGACTCACTATCAACCAATACCTCCACCAATTTTCCTCTCACTTCAGCCGTGAATGTGATCATCTTTGGTCCACGTTTCTTGCTCTTAACCATATGCAATAAGGACTCCTCTTGTGGTTCTTCTTCTTCGCAATTATCCCCAATTTCCAGCAAAAATACTTCCTTACCCTTGCACTTGTGGCCTGGCGTGAACTTTTCATTGCACGAATAGCAAAGGCCTTTTTCTCGTCGTCGCTGCATCTCTTCATCAGTCAAACGCCGTATGTTGCTTGTTGTTCGAACAGCCTCGCCCAACGGCTTATACTCTGTTCTCGCCGCCGGTTCCTCAGTAGCGGCGTGCGTGCGTTTGGTCTCGGTGCGCACGTCACTTGGCCTGGCCTTGCGTACTGCCATAAGATGATCCTCATGTAGTCTCGCCGACTCCATGGCTGCTCGCATCGATCCTGGCCTATCCAACCTCACCTCTGCCGCTAGTTCAGCCTTAAGTCATCCCACAAACGTTCCTACTAGCGCACTCTCGGGCCAATCCCGCACCCTACTAGCAATGCGCTCGAACTCCTTTTGATACTCCCTTAGACTTCCCACTTGCTTAATTCTAGACAAAGCCTCATTGTAATCGTGGTAGTCACTTGAGCCAAACCTTGTGATGAGCTCTTTTTTGAAATCCCTCCAACGCATGTACTCACCATGGTTCTTGTGCATCACCCATTGCCACCATACGTTTGCTTCTCCATCCAGATGATAAGCAGCAATTTGAACTCTTTCGTACCTTGGCACATCATTGATCTCAAAAAATTGCACAGCTCGACTCAACCATGCATCCGGATCTGTTCCCGTGAACGTGGGCATGACAATTTTTGGCTGTGTACTTGCCCTTTCGTCCACTTGTTCATCGTGATCATGGCGTCCCCCGTGTCGCCGTGCGTCGTGCCGTCGGCCATCGCGATGTGGCCTCCTCTCGTAATGTTTCGCACGCGACGCGAACGATGCGTGCGATCGCCAGTCGTCCTCTTCTTCACGCCTTCGGTCATGATGCGCGCGTCCGTCATACCGTCGCCTATCGTCGTGGTGGTGGTCCGCACGCGATGCGTGTGTGCCCCTCGATCGGTGATCGTCCTCCTGCTCGGTCCCGGTGCTTGCTTCCATGGACCGCGACCCGTGACGCCTCCTTGGCCGTGTGTTCATGCGCGTAAGCTGCTCGGCCAGATCTTGGACCATAAGTTCGATCCTTCCCTAGTTCTCATTGGTAGCATGTTAACCATCGCCGATGATCTTCATGTTGTCTTCCAACGCTTGAATTCTCTCACGGTTTGTC